CAACAGAGCTGATTTAGATGACAAGTGACATCACGTTCTGTTGCCAATCAAAACTTCAGCCAAGAGGAATACACATGCTCATTTGTATATTGAACTGTTTATTAAGTAATATGTACAAAACAAACTGTATTTTTTCACCTACATTATAGAAAGGAAGGTGTGTTTTCACCTACATAATACAAAACTATTGTACACAAACACTCTTCAAAATGAAATGCTCTTTTCTGTGCGTGTCAGAGGGGTGGACAAATTGAACTCAAATCTCATGGGTAAAGCACACATTTACATGCACACCAAAAATAATGTTCACGTAAAAAGAATATTTGGTTACAAAAATAACTTCTTGAATGTTGTCAGCTCTGAAAGCGCTGACTTAAGAAAGAGGGAATATTCCCATCTGACAGTTTACTCTATTTTTGACAACTCCTAGCATCACCAGTAACATAGAAATGTCTAATATTATAAGTTTTATAATTTTACAGCATTGTAAAAGATTGGTAATCCATGCAGTTGTTGTAGTGTTTAGCTTAGGCTTTTTAGGTGTTTATAATTATTAAAATGTACAATGAATTGTTGTAGTGACTCAGAGGTTTTATATGGAACATTATTTCCACCACAGAATAAAAAATATGTACATTTTCTGAAGAAAATGTGAGTGGTGCTTAACGTGGCAAAACTTGGGCAGTTACTGCAGTCTTTTTCTAATTTTTTAACAATTGGCTAGAATTTTTATAATGTTTTAACACGACTAATCGCTATTAGCACGTAGCTATTCACTGCTGGCATGTGTAGCATGTTGGAAGTCCTGCTTGCTAACATGAGTCAAAAGAGCCAAGTCCCATGTCTACACAATGTTCTGATGCAGAGATATAGGTCTTGCTAAATGGTTGCTAGGGCACTCTGCTTGGTTGCTAATCATGACTTTTTATCTTTAAAATTCAGACTTTTTTTCTCAGGATTGCGAGTTTATATCTTGCAGTTGTGAGGTTTTCTTTTTCTTTAAATTTAGGTTAGGAGTCTAAAAACTGTCTAAAAAAAAAAGAACTGCAAGATGTAAACTCAAAATTCAGAGAAAAAGTCAGAATTGTAAGGTAAATTCGCAATTACTTTTTTATTATATATTTTTATTCCATGCTAGTTTTATGTATGGCTTGTGAAATTATTAATAAAACAGTTCTGCATTAAAAGCAGAACCATTGTCAGCTATGCATAAACAACGTTACCTTCATGTTTAACTTCATGTAAACTTCTCCTTCAAAAAAGAAACCTAGCACACCTCATGTCTAAGGCTAATATGGTAAAAACCATCTAATATGCTCAATCAACTAAACAGTATTTTAGGAAGGAATGGGGGCAGGCACTTTATTAGCATCAGATGTAGCATGTGATTCCTGCTCCAGTTCAAAGGTCACATTCACAAAAGAAGCAGTTCCTTCTGGTTGCTCGATCTTTGGCTGCTGGCCGTCCTGATTGTGCTGCTCCTCAAAACGACGTTCTGCCTCCTCAGAGAGATGGTTCTCCTCCTCTTCTTCCTCCTCCTGCGGATTACACATTATTAGGGTGTCACAATGCGAAAGCTGTTCAAATCGCTCAAAGCATGTACAACAATAATTGTACATGCTACTTTTGAGAATATCAGCTAATAAATGAAGGCTGTAGCGGTGTACATACCTCTTTCTTCATCCTGTAGTACTCATCAATTGCATACTGATATTTTGGTGTCGTGATTCCCAGCAGTGAGGCCATTTTCTCTCCAAGATAGTCACAAACTGAAATATTTGGGTTGAAATGTACATTTTGGACTGTTTTTGTATGATTAAATGTCACAGGCTGGAAAGAGTTTCATTACCTGAGATGGATGAGGTAGCCACTCTCCACATTTGGAACCAGACATATGGACCCCAGGTCAACTTTGACTATAATCAGAGATGCAAAGTGACTAAGATGTTCAGATTATTAAAAAGAAGCAACTGAAACTACACTTCTATTTAAAGGTCCCATATTTTACGCCTTTCTGGAGTTTTATTTTAGGTTTTGATGTCCTTAAGAATATATATTTGCGGTATAAGTACCAAAAACCATCTAAATATATTTTTACAGCTCCTTTCTCAGGAGCTCTGCTTAGAACAGGTCGATTTTGGCCTGTCTAATTAATATTCATGAGCCTCTCTTCTGATTGGCCTGTTGTTTTCTGAGTGACGCCAACCAACAGGTAAACCACAGGTAACTAGGGTCATGTATGCTGTAGCCTGCTATGGCAAATAGAAAAATAGAAACACCTGTAATGATGGCCACTGCTGAGGGAAATGTTTTCCGGCCTTACATGCCGGCTCAACATCGTGAAGTCTATCAGCCATCGGCGATGGACGATGGTATCGTCTATATCGGCCCAACCCTAGTTCGGAAGCCTGTGCAATGATGTAGTTTCCTGACATCCATCGACTGAACAGCGTTTTCTTGATATGTTCCCGTGTTGTTGTTGCTCAGCAATGGCATGGACACGATGTTGTCTGGGGCTTTGGCAAATGGAGAGTAGGACTGTGGGCAGTGCTCGGGGTGGTGACTGAAGGCGGAGAATGTGTAGTTCTGACGTCACCTTTTTACGGAAGTCACAACGGCATCGTGAAATCGTGAAAAGGCACAGCTACTTTATGTAGGCTGTGTGCATTTGTCTGTGGATTGACTGTTTTGAAACTTATATGGTAGTTACATAGCCCTTAGATCTCAGTTATCATGAAAAAAGGAAAATTTCAGTTTTGACAATATGGGACCTTTAAGTTAATCTTTAAAAACGTATAATTGAATGACACTGTTAAACAATCTTTAGCAAATATCAGAATTAATATATATATTTCATACTGTACATTATAATGCTGTAACACCTACATTCACATACAATATTAATATCAGCCATTTATCCGTTATTAGCCATAACATGAAAATATTTGTTAACTTATTGGTATCAACAAGAATTTTGATATTGTGCATTCCTAATATCATAAAAGTTTTCCATATGGCTAAGTCTTCTTGCCAGTATTCTATTCCATGTTTCATTATTTGGAAAAGAGCAGTCAGGTTATTCTTTGAAAATTCACCATCTGTCCTTCACAGAAACAAGAAAGTCATACATGTTTGGAACAACATGTGGGCGAGTACATTTTTTGATGAACTGTTCCTTTAATAGATGACAAAGGTAAAATTCAAACCGCTCACCACATTCCACTGAAGGATCATCTAAACTTATGACAGAGGAGAGATGTTATGGGAGTGTTTTCTGTTGAGGAAACAAGGAGGAATATAAATTTTTGTTCACTGACGTTCTTAATCTTATCATGCATTCATAATGGCCGATTAGCGTCGGAGCAAAAGCCTGATTTAATTGCCTTTGGCTGCATCTGATTGTTTACATATAACAAAGCTCGCACTTACAACTACAACTTCCTCCTGCATGAAATAATCACAACACATGCTGGCAACATGTTTGTTGGAAGAATAGCTTGCAGAGATAACAACTGGATCTATCATCCTCTGAGAACCTTTTAAGTTCTGCAGCTTTAGCACTGGCACAGTGAACGGACAGAGCAGCATTCCACGGGGGCCCCAGAGGCCCTGACTAACCTGCACTCTGTCTGGCTCTAAAGTAGGACGTGTACTGAAAGCAAGCTCATCCCAGTGATGGTGTGTTTCAATGCATCATTTATTGCTGGTTGACACATTACGGTGTAAAATGTAAACTATAGTGCCGTTCAATCATGACGTCAATTTGTAGGCCATGTGGTTACTTGTGTTTCTGACTACTACTGAATGGGGTTTGAGTGACTGGATCACAAAACATTTACAACTGTATTTAGCATTAACAACTTGGGATCAACTGAGATGAACGTTAAAAGGACATTTCATTCACAAATTTAAATGTCATCATTTAGCCATGTTGTTCCAAACCTGTATGACTTACTGTCTTCTGTGGAACATAAAAAAAGATTCTTGAAAAATTTTTTTTTTGTCCATACAATTAAAGTCAGTGGAGTCCAAAAGACTCCATAACTTAAAAAGTTATAACCAGCTTTTTAATATAGAAGGCTCAGTTAGAGAAGCTCATGTGATGATAAAATACAGCACATGCAAATCTACATCCAGAACATGCAGGCAGACACATTCAGAAAACAAGGCAAAGCTCAGAGGACAGTGGCGATGTGTCTCACCTTAAAAAAGCTGCTGCTCCGGTCCATGAGACAGGACTGCATCATCCTCTCTGTAGACATGGTTGGGTGTATACAGCTCTTCTGTGTCAGGCTGGGTCTCTGTGGATCACAGACACATACTTTATTTGAAGCCCAGAAAGAGGAGATCTCAACCCATTCCACACAGATACGCCAGAGAAATGAGCATACAAGACTAAGAGCAGGAGCCTGCCATACATGCACCTCAGGCACACTCTAAACTTCATTAAAAGCTCTCTTCTCATTCATCTCATTTCCTGCCTGATGAATTAACTTGAACTACACCCTTTACACACACAATACTTTCTTATACATCCACACAGTCACATGCTCAAACACATCTTGTCCTAGATTGCAGCCAATATTATCTCGGTTACAGCTAGAGCTGCCATTTTAACATGTTGTTTTAGTACAATTAAAAATAAATGAATAAATATATAAATAAATATTTAATTGATATCATTAGCTATAACAAATTACACAGTACATTTGCTTAGAGATCATGGGAGAACTGGTAAAGCAAATAGAGATGACAGTCTGAGTTTAAATCTTTTGCTCACCGACTTTTGTAAAGAAGTTTTCAAAGCAGCCTCAGGCATAATACAGGGAGGGGGGATCAGCTGGGAGACTGGCAGAGACAAAACCAGGGCAAAGGTCAAGCTGCGAGAAAGGGTGGTGGAAGGGGCAGGAAGAGGAATATAAAGCTTTCTAATACACTTAATCAGCCGTGAATGCACTGCTCAGCTCAGGTAAGAATCAAAACCAGCTCCATGCGCAAAAAAAGAAACCCCTGGAATGTAGTGATCACCTGATGAATGTACTCTTTGCTAGGCCATATGTGCTGTATGTTTACAGTAAGAATAAAAAAGTTTGAAAAAAATTACAAAGAGTGTAGTGAAATTTCACTGATTTGAACTCCTACTCTTCATAGCTGTATGTTAAGTAGTAGTATTCAAAAGTTTTTTTTTTTTTTTTTTAAGGAAATTGATACTTGTACTTAGGAAGGATGGATTAAATTGATCAAAAGTAACAGTAAAGATGGATGTCTTGTTTCAAAAGATTTCTTTTTCAAATAAATGCTGTTCTTTTGAACATTAATCAAAGAATGATAAAAAAAAAATTAAGTTGCACAACAGCACAACTGATAATAATAAGATATGTTACTCAAAACTTAAGTATACAATGATTTTTGAAATAGCATGTGACACTGAAGACTGGCTGCCGAAAATTCAGCTTTGCCATCAGAGGAATAAATTACTTTTTTTTAGTATTATTGTTTTACTATATCTTTGTTTGGAAACAATTTATACATAAAGTGTAGTGAAATGTCATCGGTTCAAAATCCCTGGTTAAATTAAACAAGCTTTCTACATTGAAATGGCCACTATGTGACTGATCAAACTGTCATTCATCAGAGTGGGACAAGCTGCTGAATACTGCATAACCATGGATGGTCATAGATTAACATGTTCGAGTGATGTCAATACCATGATAAGCTACATATGAGCCATTTTACAGCTTATGTAAAATGGGTTTAAACCATAAATGGGCTGAAGTGACTAAGGACTGAAGGGACTATGGAGGGAGCTTTTCGTATTGTACACAACATTCTTTGACTTCAAAACATTTATGAAAAGTCATTGCAAACGTAAGTTGCATAAATACTTATGCAATACAGCAAACAATACAGCAATTAAAACAGCCACACCACCCAGTGCTGCCTCTGCAGGTCACTTTGTTCACGATGAGCGAGTGTCTTCTCTCTCACTGCAGAAGATTGTCATCAGCTGGAGCAAGCAGTAGCCCCTCACTGCAGAACACGAGATCCAAGGGGCATGGTTGGATCCACATTTAGGGGGTGGAGAATGGTAGGTTTAGGGGTGGAGATGGGTGGGTTTAGGGATCAGGAGGTGGAGACAGGTATATGTATATGTAAGGTGGGAGGAGTTGGATCTGAATCCAACCACGCCCCCTGGATCTTGTGTTCTGCAGTGAGGACCATCTTGGAGCAAGAGCCAGTACTGACCCACTTCCAGATGCTGCAGATCCCCAACACCCAGAAAGCTTTGATCCAGCACAGCTGTCTAAGTTATGCACAACAGCTTTTTCCTCCACAGACAGCACAGTCTTGCTGTGTCAACCTGACTCCACTCTTACCATCAACAAAGGAAACACAAAGCCTTTTTTCACTGGTTGAATTTATGAGTTGAGCTAACACAAAGCTGCTGTCTGAGTGCTGACACTGTAAGGGGAATCATGGCAAACATGTGCAGCTCAGCTCACAAAGCCTTTGATGTGACCATCAGAAGCTTTGAAAAGAACCAGCATCTCCACCCAAACTATTGCTTTCTTCTGGACATATCGCTATGACTCTTGTGTCCTCCAGAGCCAATTTATCAACAGTGCCAAAGTTCAGACTGCCCTCTGGGTGGAAGGTCTTTCAGTAGATCAAACCCTAAATACTGGAATTCCCTCCAAATGCATCTGTTCACTTATTGTTATTTAAATGTTTTGATTTATCCCTCTTTTATTATTCTTCTTTCTCCTGTCTTGCTTTCTTTTGTTCTTTTATGCATTATTCCTGTCTTTTATCTTTGTTTGTCATGTAGTTTTTTTTTTTTGGTCACACTTTATTTTAAGGTCCAATTCTCATTATTAACAAACCATTAGCTATACGGCTTTTGCCTCAATACACTCCTAATTTGCTGCTTATTAATAGTTAGTAAGGTAGTTGTTTAGTTTGAGTATTGCGTAGGATTAGGGATGTAGAATATGGTCATGCACAATATATGCTTTACTAATAAACAGCCAATATGGTAGTAATAGGCATGCTAATATACCACTAGCTAATAGTGAGAATTGGTCCCTATACTAAATTTATAACTTTTTTTAAGATTCATAATAATAATAGTTATTCATTCATTGAACTTTATTTCCAGATTCAAGGTCCTTTAGCGAAACAATAAGTATTATTATTATTATTAATGCTGTTGTTTAATAATTTGAATAATATTCTAATGATGACATTTGGTAACACTTTAGTATAGGCACCAATTCTCATAATCCAATTGTTATTAGAATGATTAATCAACTAGCCTAATCGTCAATTATTCACCAATTAATCCGTAGGCTTTGAACCATTATTCCGCTTTTGTTTTTTGTTTTTTATTAGAGCTCAGTCTCTCTCCTCCAAATCAATACAGTTCTTAGCTCTTGTTTTTTTCTCTCTATTCCTGACCAGTCGTCATGCTCCACGGCAAGCCTCAGTACAATCCAAACGGCACAACTCTTACAACCACCCAGCTGCTTGGAAGGAATACATCAGCGAAAACTGAGATTAACATTTTTATGTTGTTGTGGTGGTGGTTTTTCAGGAAATCAGTCTGAGTTTGTGGTTTTTCAGTATGAGTGAGGTCCAGGTATTTCCTGTGAAGCGTTGTTCCTGCGCTGACAGAGATGCATTGAGTTTGATATGTTAATCTACTCCTCTTTGTGAAGGGGCTTCACCTCATGTTGTTGCTGTAATGAGGCATCAACACATTCATCTTTCTTCAGCAGGGCTCAACAACATTTTTTCTGTTTGCACTGCCAACATTACATAGTCCACATCTATATCCATAAACATAAGTATGTTTGTTGGAAAATGATGACATATGATGCAAAACAAGTGACAGCTCCTTCATCTGGCTCGAAACTCTCACAATGGCCCCAGGACATCAAGCGAACCATTGTTGAGCCCTGCTCAGTATATAAACCAGAGAAAGCAAGCTGTTATCTGTTTTTGAAAGACTCAACAAGACACACATGCATACGGCTCAGTGTGTAAACAGGGAACCCCTTGGACTGCCAGCACGGGCAGAATAAACAGGCCAAGTTATTAAATGGCCACTGTGGAGCGCAGACACGCAGAGAGAGAAAGTCTAGTCCAGTTGGTCATTTATCTCCCTCATCCGCTATCATCTCAATAGGGATGTCACGGCACTGGGATACACGGAAAACTGCAGTTGAAAGGAACGGTCTTTGTTAGTGTGCCGTCCAAAATGTCAACAACTGCAAACAAGACCAGAGGCAAACTCTGTTTTCCATCCAAACAGGGTCATTTGTTATAGCGTGCTGGCTTGTACCATTGCACATAAGTTTCAACATGCCAGTTTGTGTATGTATATATGTCTGTGTAGATGTAGAAGACCACTCAGCTGGGCTGTTGGACCCACACAAAGGCACATCTGAACTACGAGGCACAGAGCGCCTCTGTTTCCTGCATACAGATGCACACATAACAGGTGCGTGGTAGCAGAGAGGATTTTCTGTAGTCTGGAGAGACCTGGCAGGGCTTGACAGGAAATGGAGCTTGCAAGCAATTAAAGGGGCTGAGCCATAAACAAAAAGAACAAATATAACAAGAATGTGAGACGCAACTCAGTATTTCTGGTATTTATCCTGGGCTGATGTAAACACAAAACAAGAACTTTGAGTGCAGCGCATTTTAATATATGCATGACAGTGAACAGCAGGACAGTGAATGCCACAACATGTCACTCTTAAAAAAAAGAAAAAACATTGACAGCCTTGAAAATCGCAGGACAACAGTGCAGCATGACTAAAGAAATGACTGAGAAACAAATCCAAATGTCACACACAAACAAAATCCACACTTCATTAAAAGGACAGTTTACCCAATGATAAAAATTTCCAGAAAGCTCTTGTATAAAAAAAGCATGGCTGACATTCTGTACAAGATAACCATTTGTGTTTTCCTGTGATTATATATTTCCTTTGTTACTTCTTGTGCAATAATAATGCACCAGCACATATATTTACACTATACCATTCAAATCTGTAAGATTTTCTAATGTTTTTGGAAGAAGCCTCTTATGCTCACCAAGGCTGTATTCATTTTTTGAAAAATAAGAGTAAAAACAGTAATATTGTGAAACATTACTACAATTTAAATGAACTGTTTTCTATTTATTCATCTGATGGCAAAGTTGAATTCAGTGTGTCACATGCTCCTTAGGAAATCATACTAAAAAGAAACAGCATTGATTTGAAAATCTTTTGTAACATTTAACATAGTGCTG